GGTGTACGTACGTGATCAGGATGGACTGGTTCTCCCGATCTGTGAGAAAGCAGTAATGAAGAGATTGTTAATAGGTGTCATGAATATAATTAGTAAACCTGTTCCTGTGACTTTTTGAAGATGCACTAACAGTAGGTGGCTATTTCCATTCAYAAACTCATCTCCCTTCATCCCAACRTCCTTTTGAATGTTTCMGTGYTCCCAGATGCAGYTGGGAAGCTGAMATTTCAAGCCTGAGGTGGTTATAATGCGCAGCACACATGCGCTTCTTTTTCTGGATGTTCACTTCATGTCAAGCTCTTAATTTTCTTTATGAAAATGATTTTTACTAATGTTAATTTTGTCGAGTTACTGATTTAATGGTTTACCAGTGTGTTAAAGTGAACTGGAGCATGTGCGTCTCATAAACTTTATTACATAGGAACAACAACTCCTAATCAAAAATCCTCCTAAATGGTTTTTATATTGTTGGTCAATTGATCATTTCCCAAAGAAAATCAGAGTAACATMATAAATATGTAGTAACCTTTACCAGAGTAGTCTCCCATTCTCTATAATATTGAAATTTTGGTACTTCCAAAACTACATTATATATTTCTCTTTGCAATATCTTGAGCTGAATTTGCTTTCCACAATTTTGTCTGTTTGTTTTTTAACCAATGCAACTCCATATATAAAATTTTTGCGTTACAAAAACTGAAAAATCTTTAGGGAGTCTGAAGAGACTACACCCTTACGGAACTAACTCTTAATGGAGGTGTCTGAGTTTGCACTCAGTGAGTTCCTGCACGTCTTTTGAAGGTGTCACCAAGGGTAAATATAAGACAACTTGCATGAATACAACCATGATAAGRCRCACTATTCCAACATCAATTTTRTATTGTTCATTTTCATTGCATTCTSTTGCAATCAACCTTCTTAATGCTCTGAATGCTACAGAATTAAATACAGTGATTTGGGACAAATGAGGGAAGAAACTTTAACAAATTAAAGTATACCTCTCTATGTTATCTATTTTTCTGACCAATCCGCTCTTTCCTAAAATTCTGAAGATTTAGACAATGCTAGAAAATTGTCACTATCCTTCTTTTGTATTGCTTTCTGTTATACTAATGAATGGAAACTAAGAAATTGTTTTTGAGATGGAAGAAGGAAGTAACATTTTCCAAGCAGGTTTCACTGCAAAGTCTGACTGAGATTGCTTCCAGAGTTTTTGTAAAGTAACCATAAGAAGCCTTGGCTCCAATGTTGAATGTACTTTCTCTTTACACATAGTGTTATTTACCAAACTCCACCCTATTGACTTTCAGTCCTACATAACAAATCATTCAAAGAACAATCTTGTCACCTCAGAAAAAGCAGAACTTTAAAGTATATMCAAATTTCRTTAAYAGAAAATCTGACAATTATTCAGTGYTAAATCGTATCCTCCCAAATACACTGGACATGAAATTTTAACATTGATTTCTATAAACTTGATAAAAATGATGATGCTCAGAAAAAAATCTATTTACAGTGATGAGAGAACATCCACTTTTACAGCAACATTAAACTGACGTATTGTGCAAAGAAAACACTTTTTTTTTTTCTCCTGAGAGTGTTCACAGCCAAGTGATTTTAAAGAAAACTCACCAGTCAGCATGAACTGATAGGCATTGTCAGAGATGGAGAAGATGTGTGGAGGGGCCTCCTGGCGCTTCTTGCCTCGGTAGGCCAACACCACCTCCGGGTTGTACACCGGCAGCCACTTGTAGGGGTTGACAGTGACGCAGAAGAGACCCGAGTAGGTCTGCGAGGAAGGAAGACAGCACGTTGGCTTCCCCTGAGCCTGGCACAGCAGTTCCTGCAGCTGCCCAGAGGAAGCTGCTGCTGCCACTTACGTAGATCATCCAGGCTGCGTAACGCTCTTTGAGGTTGTAYAGCACAGCGGGTTCGTGGAGGTGGGTCATCATGGCCATGTCCTCGATTTTATCGTACTTGGGAGGGTTCATGGAGAAGATTTGATCTTCCTTCACGGTCATGGTCTGCCACAGAATAGAGAGATGCATGTATGTCAGCTAAGAACCCAGAATGGGGATTAAATTTTTTTTATAAACCTTGCATTTATTCACCTCTCCACCTTCAGTCTTGACAGTGACCTTCCCTGCATCCTTACTCTCGATTTTCCCTTTCACATAGGACTCCTTTGCATGTACCACGAAGACGGATGTCTTGGCATCAAAAGGTTTGTTCTGGGCCTCAATTCTCTCCTTCTCTGAYTTTCGGAGGTAAGGAGCCGCCTCCCCAAAGGCGGCCATGTCAGCGTCTGGAGCCGACATTGTTGCACTTCTGCAGGAGGCACAGCCAGCAGGGTACTCTATAGGATAGAAGATGTGTTATGTCAGTGAGTGAGCAACTTTATTGTGGAAGAAAGGAGATCTCTTGCACTTTTTCAAATATCAAAGTAGATATAAATAAGTRAGAAGTTGGATTTAAAATTCCCAGTCTTGTCTGAAAGTACTGTATACTTCTCTAAAATTAATCCTTAGACATCCAGCTAAGGAACAAAGTACAGAACATCAGTTAATTGTGTAGTATGTGAAGTTYACCAGTCTTATTTCAACTTTGTGAACCCTAGAAAATTTGGGTGTTCCCATAACAGTCTCTGATTTTTAATTTTTTTTTTTTATGCTACTGAAAGTCTCTGAAAGAATTCCTTTTCTGATGGCAAATAATGGCTTTCTAAAAACTAYTTGCTATGGATAATTCATCTTGCATTATGTTTTTATTGCCTGGTCTSCCTTCCACATATCTTAAACTCTTGAATTTCATCCTGTTCCTTAAAAGTTATTCAATTTTTGTATTAATTCTGGTGGCAGAGGTCATTGCTATTTGAAGCATAACGACCCATTTTGTGTTGCACAGATATCCAAATCTAATATATAAGTTGAAGGAAAACATGCTGCCTTCAAACATACAAWAAAATTAGAGCTCACAGAGTCAGTCCATGACAGAAACAGATATTCAAGTCTTACAGTAAGTTAAATGGAATAAAATAGTGTATGCTTTGCCCAGCAGTTCACAGGAGCCAAACACTTACCTTGAAATTTTCTGTCAAGACTAGGCACAGCAGCCCAAAGAGACTTTTATAGACTCTGGTATGCAGATGCTTTGGATGTTTCCTTTTCCTTCTGTCAAAATATATTTTGGCAAACCATCTTTGGCCAAACATTGCCTGGCAAACATAACTAATGGCATAATTGTCATTTGACCGGATATATTTAGAAATGTTTTGCATCTTACCATTACTGCGGATGCATTTCCTATAAATAGTSTGACAGGGCTATTAATATTGGAATCTGGACTAGTCAAGGCACTTAAAGAACTTGGGTGTATGATTTATTGGGTTTTTTACTGTCTTTACAGGTAACTTAATCTTTGATCCAGATGAGATTCTTTGGGATTTCTGCATTTTTCCAGATGTAAAAGGGAAATAATACAATATATCTTTTAGATGTGGTCCTATGAACTTAGAGCCCGCCTTTACCTCATTAGAAAAGGCAGTTCTACAAAAGACAAATCATTATTAAAACTCTTTCAGTGACTCATTATGTATTATTAAAAAAAGTGGGAAAACAGACATGTCGTGGGCCAGAATTTTGCCTACAATATCAGAGAGAGAGGAATGCAATAGACAACAAGGTCAAATATGGATTCAAGTTTGGTCACGCTATTTGTGCCTAGTGCGTGAAAGGTGACTCCTTAATGATAAAAGCCATTAAATATTTATGTGAATAAATCCTCACTTGGTATTTTGCACAAATCAAAAAATTCAAAATGTGCATAGTAGAGGAATGTTCAGTATTGCAATAGCCAGTCATAAGTGATACAACAAAAAATCCTTCGTAGTCTCAAACAAACTATTCATAATAACTCATACCTGAAAAAAAAAAAAATCAGCTTGTGAAAAAGCTGATGCTTCTGTTACAGAACTGATGTAGAAGAAATGTATAATATTTTATAACTAGCAATTTTATTAACAGGAAATTTATTATATGAAAATTATTTGTGTCTCAAACTTTGTTAAAGATTCTCTAAGGTTTAAGAAAGCCTAACAGGTGAAAGTAACCTAGACCAGGAAATACCTTCAATCCGCAGTAGACATACAGTCAATAAATATACAGTGATTTCTCACACAAACATGAAGTGCTAACATGCCTTAAAGAGCTTAAGCCCTTTAAGAGCTTAAGCTTTTTACTGTTGCTAATATTTATTTGCCTACTGTCAACGTATACCAAGCAATACTCTCAACAAAGTCAGGCCCTCACTACCTACAACTCAAAAAAACCCCAACCCTTGTGCCCATACACAGCTCCACCACATTCACACACATCTCTTAAGTCTGGGATCTGTTGCAGTTAAGAAAGAGCTTGTCGTGATTGGCAAGACTCCGTGTTGTGTGACAGACTGTGATTGGCTACATAGATGGACACCACCCAACTGAGATGTGATTAGATAAGGAGCTTCATGGGTGGTGGCCCTGCAGAGCAAACAGCCAATGGATGTTTAGCTCGAGAAATTTAAGAGTATAAAAGAATATAGCTTTTAAAAACAAACGGAAAAGTAAGATTTCATTAAACAAACAAGAAGTCCATGTCCTCTGTTCCCACCATTGTCACAAATAGCCGTGCCCATATTCAAACAAATCAAACCAAAAACAACCAAAAAAACAAAAAAAAAMMCACCCACACCATGGGACCCTCTATACTCTGATACATCCTCAGTGTAGCACTCCCATTCCATCAAAAATATCTTGCACTCTCACATGTTCATAGAGCTCCAGCAACAAGAGCTCTCAACACGGTGCTGCCTGTTTTGGTGCAGTATTGCTGTAGGCAGTACTCTGAGAAAGGCGGAAATTGCCAGTACTTCTGGAGAATGAGTGGTGAAGTTCTAGGAAAAAGGGCACTGTCACTTGAGCTGCTTTCAACAGTCACTTCTGAACACGCCCTTCTCCTGCTCATTGGCATTTTGACTGTTAAAAGAACTCAGTGGGTGAAGSTCAGTGAAGAGCACAGGAGCAAGGTCAGCACATGTGATCCAAGGACATAACCAAGGTCAAGCACTGGTGTGGGTGTGGAAAGCTTGTTACAAGGATGAACACACAACTTTCTGGAGTCCAAAACCAGAGCTCACCTGTGGGCTCCCTGCGCAGCGCAGGGGGAACCTGGTGGAAACACCCTTTGCCCTGAACTGTGGTGTGTGTGGTCCTTTTGATTTCCTGTCTGTTATATCCCAATATGGGCAGCCATTCATGACAATGGGGAACAGAGGACACAAACTCCTTCTAAAGGTTCAAAAAAAATCCTACTTCTCKGTCTATTTTCAAAAGCTGTATTCTTTTATACCCTTAAGTTCCCAAGCTAAACACCAATTGGCTGTTTGCTCCACGGGGCCACTRCCYGTGAGGCTTTTTATCCAATCACATCTCTGGTTGGGCGGTGTCCAYGGGCTCTGCTTACCCAATCACAGTCTGACACATAACACAGGGTGCTGTCTATCATGACAGGCTCTGTCTTAATTGCAACACTGAACAGTCGGAGCTCAGAAACAACCTGTGTRAAACGGTGAGCGTGGTGGTGCGTGAGAAGTCCTGTTTCTCCAGGCAACCTTTGACTTTCACAGACTTGCACAACTTAGAGGCCAGAACCACAGAATGGTTTAAGTTGGAAGGAMCCTTCAAAGAATCATCTAGTACAACACCACTGCTGTGGGCAGGAATATCTTTGACTTAAATACTTMCTAATTCAGGTGTATGCCTTTTCCACGTGGCCAGAAGCCTTCCCTTGTCACACCAGCCTAGCTAGAGAAATTGCTAAAATACTGTTGAATCAAATAATACCTAGATTCAGAGTATGTTTGGGAATGTCATCAGACAAAGGTTCCCCTTCACTGAAGAAGTAGTACAAGAGGTTGGGAAAGCCTTGGGAATAGCTTGGGATGTTCATTTTCCTTATAGGCCCCAAGGTTTTGCTAAAGTGAAGTGAATGGTTTATASAAGCAAATTGCAATTGGATGAATTATGTCAGGAAACCTCCATCAAAATAAGCCTTTGTGAGCTGCTGTATGGTCGACCCTAAGAAGTTCCACACATTCCAGGAAACACATGTATAAAAGGAGAGGTCAGTTTGAATAATTATCTCATTTCTCTTAGTAAAACCTTACAGAATTTGAAGTGAGCAGTGGCAATCTCCAGACTGTTGGGATTGAACACACCAGCACACAGGTTCTAAGCAGGAGATTGGGACTGGGAGATAGCATCCCTTGGCCAAAGTGGAAGGGACCTTTCCAAGTACTATTGACTATTGACAACTTTTTTCTTTTTTACAACACACAGCTCAAGGTGATACCTCCTGYGGATTTGAAGAAATCTGGACCAAACTTACTTCATGGTTACCTAGATGGACTAAGTGAAAACATCTCCTTATAATGGTCACCATAATAATTGCTATATGTGTTTTAGCTTGCATCATGATTCAGTGTTACAGCTGTTGCAATGCCTTATACTATAAAATGAAATAGAGATATTGGGAGAWTCATTCCCTTAAGGAACTTAGTCTCAAGAAAAGGGGGAACTTGATAAGGACAGTAAAACTGAACAGCATTTTACTCTTACCAAGGACAGTAGAACAGAACAGCCTTGGAAAAATAGATCAAGGATGTAACTTACGAAAACAGAGTCATGCAAAACATAAACAGGATACCAGCTCAGCTCTGCAAGGCAACAAAGTTACACAAAACAACAATTTTGTGCTTACTGAAGTTGTTGGTCAAGGAACAGCTACCTAGAAAGGACACCAGATGTTGAAGACAAATCCAGAAGAGCCGTATAAAGACTTGCAGTAAGGGGTGTCACTATGTAAAATAAAATCAAGGAAGTGGGGATAACACATGACTATGTAATCAGTGTGTATGACAGAATCTCTCTTCCSCCAGCACTGGTCACACTCAAGTGGAGGAAGGACCCTCTGAGTGAGCAGGCTGCAATAAAGAATGCCCAGTTTCTGACATTCAAATCTGTGTTAGAAAGTTCCTGTATGTCTGATTTCTGTATCAGTAGAACCTTGCCCTCTCCCATTCAAGCTGTAGTGGTCAACTTCGGTTGGTCACTGCTTTGCCAGGCAGCACCGCTGTGTATTGTCTTTCTTCCAGATCAGTCTCTTCAGCTCCCTGCGAAGTTTCTCCAGTTTGCCAGTAYCTTGCAGGGTGACTTGTAAGGTCTCAGACAGAGCCATGCCATGACCCCACATTGCACTCAGCCTCACATGATAGCAAAGCT